CTGGGCTTTTACCTTTGTCTATTTCTGTATACCTTTCTTTGCTTCTTACTCAGTGTCTTGCTGTGTAGCTGGGTGGCTGGCCCCTGGAGTCCTCCTCCATTTCTTCTTCTTTCCCTCCAAGATCTCCTAGATTTTTCTTCCTATTAATTCTCTCTGCCTGCCAGCCCTGCCTATCCTTTCTCCTGCCTAGCTATTGACTGTTCAGCCCTTTATTAGACCAATCAGGTGTTTTAGACAGGCAAAGTAACAGCTTCACAAAGTTAAATAGATGTAACATAAAAGAAGGCAACACATCTTTGCATCATTAAACAAATGTTCTACAGCATAAACAAATGTAACACATCTTTAACTAATGTTCTACAACAGTAGCCCAGCTGGCCTCAAGTTCTCCATGTAGCAGAAAATCACCTAAACTCCTGACCCTCCTGTCTCCACTTCCCAGGTGCCAGGGTCACCAGTATATGCCACCACACTATGCCAGTGTATGCAGTGGTAGAGACTGAACTCGTGAGTGCCAGGCAAGCGTTCTACCAGTTGATCTACAGTACCTGCCCTGTCTAGATATTTGAAGGGAAGAAAGGAACAGCAAAAACCCCATGGGATTCTCTCTGTAGCACAGCACATGAGTGGTTCTGTGACTATGTGAAGATCTGCCTCAGTAAACTGCAGGAAATTCAAGTCCTTTCTCATCATCACATTGGGGTTAAGTGAGACCAGGCAGATAGTTCGAAGGTACATATTGTGGTTTGAAGGAGAAACATCCCTTGTTGGCTCCAGTACTAGAACTCTCGGTGCCCAGTTGGTGGCACTGTTTGGGGAGTTTTCGGGAGTGGAGCTTTGCGGGAGGGAGTATGTCATTATAGGTGAGACTTGAGAGTTCAAAGCCTCTGGCCACTTCTAGTCCACCTTCTCTGCTTCATGCTTGAGGCTGAGGATGTGAACGCTCTGCTTCCTGCCCTGGCTGCCATGTCCGCTGTGTGCTGCCATGCCGTCCCGCCATGATAGACTATTACGGCTTCCCTATAGTTCTCCTTGAACTAGGAGCCAGAATAAACCCTTTGTCCCATTGGTTACTTTTGACAGAATGTTTTACCACAGCAAGATGAAACAAACAAACAAAAAACCCAAATAGGCACCTTGTACTCTTAAACTTTCCAAGTGAGTTGGGCCTCAGTTAGTCTTCATTCATATCAGCAACTTCATGCCAACTTGCTGGACAGTAGCTTCTCTTGCTCTGTTAATGGTCTTATTTTCACTGAACTCTATGTTTGGATGGGAGCTCCACCTCAACCCCTGGCACCCTGGCGTCCATATACCCAAAGAGTCTGGAATGTTCTGGTGGGAGATCCACCTCAACTCCCCTCCCCCATATCTTTCCTCAAACTCGCCCCTTCAAAGCCCACCAAACATGGCTCCTCCCCTAGAGAGGCTCAATACCACTTCACAGGGTACTTAAGCTGCATCCCAGAAAACAGACACATGGTTTTCTAGTCTTTCATCCCTGTCTCCTCTCTGGGGGGGGCTAGAGAATCACTCGGGAATGCTTTACTCATTAAACTGGGGCTTTTTCTAATTCTGTCTGATTTGGTCTGATTTGGATTACTGCATTGGTGGAGAGGCTTATCGGTAGGAAAAAAAAAACAACTTATCAGTCTACACAGTTAGATAGCCAAGTCCTGGCACGTCAAAATAACACAGCCAAAAGAGTGGGAATTCTGATCCAGCCAATGCTAACATTTTATTACCTGGGGGGGAAAAAAACCCTAGAAACTATATTCATTTATAAAGAAAAGTAATCTGACTTTTGGCATATCCAAAATATGTGCTGAGATTTTTTTCTTTCTCTTAATTTAAAAGCCTAAACCTAAGAACATTGCGTTCTCAAATCTATTCAACCCATTACTTGAATATAACAGGATATATACAATTATGTCTATAATTTCTGTATCAAATTCTTACTGTGCCTTTATTCTAGAAGGAAATACAATCTCCACTAATTTATTACTGGAAAATGGTAGGAAGTAAGGGGTACTTTATGGAGGGCTTTCATAAGTCCTGCTAAGGAACTATAAAGTGCATCCAGAGCAGTGGTCTGCTAAATGTGTGTCTCCGAGAATGAGTTTGGGTGGCAGCACACAGTATGAGATGGGAGCAAAGGAACCATCATGAGGTTCCTGTGACGGCAAAGATGGGCTGAACTGAGGCAGTTGCCTGGGAGACACGGTGAAGACATAGTTATAGACTACTTAGAGAATCCAATAGAAGATAATTGGAGACAGAGGTCATGCTGGGAGGGAGGGAAGAAGAGAAAGATGCTAAATAATAATAATAATAATAACAACAACAACAAAAAGCTCACTGTGAGGCTCGGGGGTTCAAGGGATGATGGGCTTTGCAGATGGGTATGTGAGTTTAGAGTGCATGAAGCTATGTCTGAGGGACATGCGGTCTGATGGCTCAGGCTACAAGAAGTAAAGAAAGGAAGAAATGTGGGCAAAAGAGAAGAAAAGGATAGAAATTACTTTCTTGTTTTTCAGGACATCTATTTGTGAGAATTTTCTCCCTGGGGTTGGGGCTAAGCAATTTCTACCCTCCTTCTAAGGTCTCAATGCCAAACCAAAGTTTGATTCCCCTGAAGTAAACCCAGTGAATTTATTGGGCAAGTAGAAATGGATGAGGGGTTGCTCATGAAAGTGTGGATAATCCCAAAGTAGCCACACTGTAAGGTCTGCACTGAGCATCGATGATGGCTTTCCCATAATCCTATAGGTGGAGGCCCCCTTTCTCCTCGTCTTCCCCAGCCTATATACTCCAGGCCTTCCCTGAGGCCATGTCCAGTTAGGACAGAACTCATTAGGAAGGGAGGCTAAACACTCAGGTAAGGGTCCCATGACCTACCTGGCCCTCTTTCTATGAGGGAACATCAACAGTGCACAAGCCTTGCTGGGATGCTAGTTTACAAGCAGCAGACACACCTGAACTCACGAAGACACCAACACTTTAGCTCAGAGGATAGTGAAATAGCAAAAGATTAGTTTTGTGTTGAAGCCAGGTGAGAGCATAGAAGCCCAAAGTGAGAGAAACTAAGCAAAACACATGACAAATGTTTGCCTGGAGATTTCTGTTGGGAGAATTTGACCCTAGACTTGTGTTTTTCAACCAGGTGCCACTCTGTCTCCCGAAGGGACAGTTGTCACTGTCTTGGGACATTTTTGATTGCTGTAACTAACATGGGGCTTCTGGCAGGAGAGGTCAGAGGTGCTGCTAATGTCCCTCAACATACAGGAGAACAATCACCTGACTGAAGATGTTAATGGTGCTGAGGGTGAGAGATTCCTGCCTTGACAATTGAGCTGGCAATTTCGTTGAAAGAGCTGAAATCATCCTTAAATTGCTTTTCTCATCAAGAAACACCACAGAAGGACCTTGAAGTAATATAGGGGAGGACCTCCGTATGCCAGCTGGGAAGTCCATTCCAGTTAGTTTTTCTCACTCAAAAGACCACTTATCTGGCCCAAAGCCCTTATGCACACAGAAGCACATTGAGAGCTCCAAGAACACGCCACGCGTTGACCCAGTGAACCCAATGAGGAGGCTAGCCATGGGTGGAAAGACACGTTCAATACTACAGATAGATATAGATAGAAACTAGATAGATACACAAAGGCCACAGAGAACAACTAAAGCTGGAGGCATGGGCATGACCGTGAAACTTGGCTATTGCAGTGTTAAATATGAACACAGAAATACTGAACATTGTCAACCCAACACAGTCTAGAATCACTTGGAAAAAGATTCTTAGTGAGTTTGGGTAGATCAGGTTGGCCTATGGATGTGTCAGTGGGGATTCCATGTCACTCTTTGTGTAAGTAATGTAAAATCCCAACATTTTTTTTTTTAGTTAAAATTCTGTAAAGTGTGATTTTTATCTACTTTTAGATTAATCCGTCTTCACTTTTGATGATCTTTCAACCAATTGCTAGCCTGTTTTGTATCCACTTTTCTAAATGGAAGGAATATACAGAAACAGCTTGACCAATTATTGACCAAAATATTGAGAATTCAGCATTCTTTCCCTCCATTCTCTAATCTCTTCATGAAATCCCCTCATTCTTATCCTTAAAGTCCTTGGACATACTCTGAGTATGCTGTTTGAAGTTCTTGACTTGTGCTTCAGCCAAGTTGCTTTTCTCAGGGAGTATTAAAATGGGGCTTTGGTTTCTGGAGGAGGCATATTGTCTCAGTTGTTCATGTTTGTGTTTTTGTGATGGAATCTAGGCATCCGGACCTACAATTCTGGGATGTTTCCTGGTGTGGATATTTGATCCTACCTTTGTTAGGTGGGGGTCTGCGTCTCACTGGCTACTACTGCAACATGTCAGGTTATGGATCAGCTGAGTGTTGCATGGTTCTCAGTTATCAGGGACATCTGGGTTCTGGAGTTCAGATGCCGACGGGTCCCAGATTGGTATAATGAGGTACTAAACGTAATGGTTGGAACTCCGAGCTCAGACTCCAGGCAGACCAGAATCTGTGCTGTGGGAGGGAGGGATGATAGGTGACCAGATGAGGGAAGGGACTGACTATGGGTCTCTTAAGTAAGTAGGGTAATTTTGTTAGTAATAATCACTTTGTAAGTATTCCTATATAGTCTAGAACTGGCTCACACAATACATGGATTGCTTTTGTTCTCTAGATTTTCATTTGTGTAGTATTCTGTCATACAGTGTTTTACTCTTCCTACTGCTGTGTCCTAAAATGCAAGAAGAAACAATTGAAAGCAGGAAGGGTTTCTTCTGGCCTAGAGTTTGAGGGGAGTCACTCCATCCTGGTGGGGATACACAGAAGCTGGTGGGAGGGCACAGCAGACAGAGCAGGAGACAGCTGGTCCCGTTGTACCTGCCAACAGCAAGCAGGGACTGGATGGGAAGTGGCGCTGGGCTACCAAGTCTCAAGGCTCACCCCCATGACGCACTTCCTCCAGCGAGGTCTCACTTCTGAAAGGTTGTGAAATCATCCTACACAGCTCTCCCAGCTGAGGACCAAGCATTCAAATGTGGGAACCTGTGGGAGACATCTCACACTCAAACCACACCCCCACTACCTGGCGGGAATTCAACACCAACTCCATCCGAAGATATTATGAAATCAGCCCAGCTCTACCAGGTAACCGCTAGCTTTTGCGTCATCTTACAGGCGTTCTGACTGGAGTTGTCTTCTTCCTGTTACAGTCTGGACTGCTTGCTCCCTAGGGTTGTTTACAGCAGTAGACATGAATAACAGCTTTGTTCTCGGAGGGATTTTTCTTTTTCCCTAGGTTACACATGTCCTTTCCTGATTTTGTAGGTGTGCTGTATCTCCAACTCATGATAAAGGTTCATGGAAGAATATATTAGATGCATAGAATTTCAGTGTAGAAATGGTTCTCATCAAAGTATTTAGGGCTGGCTGTGGTGGTGCATGCCTGTAATCCCAGCATTTGGGAATTAGAGGCAGTTGGATCTCTGTGAGCTCAGGGCAAGCATGCTCTACCTAGTGAGTTCTGTGATAGACAGGGCTACAGAATGAGAAGCTGTTTTGAAACAAAACAAAACAAAACACACACACACACACACACACACACACACACACACACACACACACACACACAACTATTTAGGTCAGGGCCCCTTTTGCTCCTAGAATCCAGAACGGAAACTGACAAGTCTACCTCTGAACTCCATGCAGCCTATGAAGCTGGGAGTCCTGATGCCATGTGATCCTTTGTCGCTCTAAGAGCAGCCCTTTGTCTCTGATATTCTGAATTCTCACTAGGTTATAGGTTGATGTAGGAACTTTCCAGTAGTTTCAATGGGCATCGTGGTTTATTTCAATGTGACATTTGTTTTTGTTGTTCCTGGAGTTGTTTTCACGTTTATTAACTTCCCTGTTTGGCCTCTTTGTACCTCTTATTAGTATTAACGTGGGGCTTTTCTGATGGAAATGGTCTTTAACTGTTCCTATTGTCAAGGAGGAAAGAAGAGAATAGAAGTGACCAAGCTGTGATGGGACATCTCATCACTCTGTACTGAGGGTCCCCAAGGTCCAGCTTCCATCCCCAGGCTTGTTCTGATGGTGTGATGGCTTTGAAGGAAATCAGGACTCCATATCAGCTGAGCTTCCCCAGAAAGTTTAGCTTAACAGGATACAATTTCCAATACATGTGCCCCATTGTGGGAAGGCAGAACTCAGCATGGCCTATCAGCAAGCTTTACGTAATATCTTTCAGGAGCTCCCTGGCTTTCTCAGTTTTCAGTGCCTCTCTAGAGGTGTGTACATGTTTTATTTTGGTCTTTCATGACACAGAAAGCCACTCAAACATGCATTTTAGCCTCACGATGTTAGCGTTGACAAGGGACAAGAGGGAAATTGCTTGCTCTGACCAACCTTAGATGAACCTGTCCTACTCAGATGCAAGCATTCCTGGAAGATTATCTTTTATGATACAGGACAGTAACTATTTGCTGTTTTTGTTATCCACTATGCTGTGGAAATCCTTGGCCTTTAAATCAGCTGTTGAAACTTGGCCACACAGTCCTTGATCTTTGATCCAGTTAACATCAAACTCTTTTAAAAAGACAGTTTTATTAAAATTACCTACGTACTGTCAGGCAGTGGTGGTGGTGGTGGTGGCGGCGGCGGCGGCGCCGGCAGCGGCGGCGCACGCCTTTGATCCCATCCAGGCGGATCTCTGTGAGTTTGAGGCCAGCCTGGTCTATAGCACGAGATCCAAGACAGGCACCAAAACTACACAGAGAAACCCTGTCTTGAAAAAAACCACACACAAAAAAAATTAGCTACTTACCTTTAGTATGCCAAATCTTCCAACCATTCTGAGGAACAAGCCTGCCCAAGGACCAGAGTGCCATCCTGGTTGTCCACAATGATGATAACCAGGCAATTTTGGTATACATACTGATTTTAATAATTATATTATTATATTCACTAATAATAGTATATGCAAATGGCACTTAAAGTTGTGATTTTTAGTCCACATGTGCACATGAGGAGAATAAGGCTCAGGGTAGTGTGAGACTATTTTCCCATTGATTTCTAGGAAGAGAGTGAAGGGGAGGCTGAGAATATGGCTCAGTGGCTAGAGAACGTTCTATACAAGCCTGAAGACAACACTGAATCCCAAGAACCCATATAAAGCTGGATGTAGTAGCACATGGATGTAATGGAAGTGCTTTTATTGGGTGCTGAAAATGGAGAATCTTTGCCAACTTATGGGCCTGCTAGACTTGCACACGCAGCAGTGAGCAAGAGACCCTGGTTCCTAGGAGGACTGGCACCTCTGGCCTCATGTACCACAGCATGTGCATGCCTGTAGTCACATGTGTGTGCACACATGTGCACATACAGACACACAGACACACAGACACACACACACAGAGACACAGACACACACCCACTCACACACACACGATAAACAGAAAGAGAAGGATGGAGAGATGTTCCCATTACCTGTGTCTGCACTGCAGCTGACAACCACTCGTAACTCTAACATCTGGCCTCTGAGGACACCAGCATGTACACACACACACACACACACACACACACATACACACACACACACACACACACCACACTTTTAAAAAGCCTTTAAGAAGAAAAGAAAGGCCAAGTAGCTTGGCTGCTCAATATTTACCCAGCGTTCAATGCCTGCTATATGAATGCTGTTTCTTTGAATATTTCTATTAAACTACATAGGCTGAAAGCAGAGATCAAGGATGTGAGGCAGCAGGTCTCAACCTGTAGGTTGAGACCCCTTTGGGGGTTGGATGACCCTTTCTCAGGGATCACCTAAGACCATTGGAAAGCACAGATATTTACATTACGATTCACAACAGTAGCAAAGTTTAGTTATAAAGTAGCAACAAAAATCATTTTCTGGTTGGGGTCACTACAGCATGAGGAAGTGTACTAAAGGGCTGCAGAATTAGGAAGGTGGAGAACCACTGAGTGAGGGAACAGAAGAAGGGGGAAACTGAACTGAAAGAGTGGACGTGTGGCCTTCTTACCTTCCTGGCTGTGGGGGTCAGTTGTCGTGTGGCCACCTGCCTGGAACTGTGACCATTTTCTTGATATTTTGGTGTACTGAGTCTATGTGACAAGAATGTTCTCAAACTTCCTTCACACGCAAAAAAAAAAAAAAAAAATGTTTTCTAACAGCTAACTCATGCACTGAGCACAGGACCCGGTCCCACTGCCTGGATGCCTCCCAAACAGATCAAGCCAATCAACTGTCTCACCTATTCAGAGGGCCTGATCCAGTTGGGAGCCCCTCAGCCATTGGTTCATAGTTCATGTGTTTCCATTCGTTTGGCTATTTGTCCCTGTGCTTTATGCAACCTTGGTCTCAACAATTCTCGCTCATATAAACCCTCCTCTTTCTCATTAATTGGATTCCTGGAGCTCCACCCGGGGCCTAGAGGTGGATCTCTGCATCCAGTTCCCTCAGTTATTGGATGGGGTTTCTAGCATGACAATTAGGGTGCTGGACTGAGTCTACCAGGTTGATCTCAATCTCCAGGGGAGGCTTTGCCCTGGAGGAGGTGGGAATAGGGGATGGGCTGGGGGAAGGGGAGGGGGGCGTGAGGGGTGAGAACAAGGGAGTCTGTGGCTGATATGTAGAACTAAATTATATTGTAAAATAAAATAACATTAAATTAAAAAAAAGAAGCAAAAAATGTTAGACTTAAAGTATATTTCTTTCATTAGAAACTAATAGTAAAATACGTAATATATAACCAAATATGACAGAGAATAGAAAATATTTTACATAAAATTATAAAAATTTATACCAGACATGAAATATTTACTTAGTGTAGAATGTGAAAACTTATGCTGTATTTACATCAAAGGGGTAGACAAAAAAGTTTTCTATAACATGTATGAGTTGTATCGAATTATCAGGAATGGAAGAACAGGCTGCTTCTCACCAGGCTTCTAGTACAATGGAAAGCAAACTTACAGCATAATGGTGTGCATACCAGTCCCAAATTCTTGTGGACATTTGAATAAATGGCTTCCTCAGCGACTTGACCCATGACCACACTGCAGAGCCACGCCCCATCCTTGGTTATGTGGCGCCTGTGGGGTCTCTGGCCTCCCTTCCAGGTGTCCTCAACTTCTGGGGTGGGTGTGACCTTCACTGGACAAGTGAGTGCAGTCACTTCCGGTTAGGGAGATCAGGGGAAATGAATTTGTCTATCCACATTTACTCAAGACTTTTTTTTTTTTCTTTTTGAGATGTTTCCATAGATGCCCTGTCTCTATTTCACAAGAAGCGTGGGTAGTCAGGGATGAGAGCAGAGAAAGGCTCCAGCCAGGAGAAGCTAAAGAAATCAGACCCCAGTGCAGAATGAAACAGAAACAAATTCTACCAGTCTGAACAGGAGCAGAATATGACTTCAGTATTGAAGGAAGTGACAGATGTCCCGGCGTTATGGGAACGGGTTTAAGCATAACCTTAAAATAGTGCTTCAGAGATTTCGGAAGACAGAGAGGAATCTGTCTTTGTGCTTTAAGCCCTTTCTCTTCCACACGGATTTTTTTTTTTTTAAAGTTAGAATACATTTTGGACCAGAGCCAGGGAACTGATATTTTCTAATCTTGGGTGTTGCTGCCACCTACATGACAGGAAGACTACACACAAACCAGCTTTTCTCAGAGGGTACCTGAGACAACACGCTCTCTGTGAAAACGTAACCTTGAGACCTCCACATTTATTTCTCCACTTCACTCTCCCAAACAAAGGAGTATTTATTTCTACCCCATTACCTTGGAAGAAGTTGACATTCTTCCTCGCTTAGATGGGGGTGGGGTGGGGTGGACACACTGGTTATTTGAATTGGGGCTGATCTCAGGGAATATTCTCTATCACAAAAACAACCTCACGGACAACTTCATCCCCACGGTTCCTTCTCAGGGGAAGAAAAAATTACCTTGACCTGGTTTCTATATGTCCCCTACCCGCATTGCCCAACTTCAGAATACAAAAGGGAGGCTGAAACAACACAGGATGCAACTAGAGAATCAAAGATAGCCTGGTCCTGATGATAGATGAGAGAGGCTGTTTTTGATCGGCAATGCAGTTGACCCCGAAGCATTAACAGGGAACCCCTTTAAAAAATCTACAGGAAGTATGTGGTGCTCGAGAACAGAGCATAGATTCTCCTTTTATCCTAGAAGGAATTGTGCAAACACCTTCCCCTTAGAATATGCATGGGCAGGATCTAAAAGGCAATTGATGACTTTGCAGATAATTGCAATTAAAATGATTGCTAAGTGAGTAAATGATGGGTTTGGGAGGCATGTGCCAACTAATTATTGCTTTTACATAATGTTATGAATATTGGCGTATTGCTGGTATTTGGCGCTTTACAGATTTAGGCTGGGAGTGTACTAAATATGGACTGTTTATCATTGCTATTAAAGACCTTGTATCCTTGAATAAAAATCCCTACAACACTTCTACTGAAGACAAAAAGGATCTTTAGAACTGACGACAGAAAATGTGGTACAGCAATGGGGTAAAAGGTGTTTGGAGAGATCGTTAAAAGATAGAGCCTGAGACACCAAGAATTTTCTCTTTTATCACAGAAAACAATGTAAACGTGTTCAAGTGGTCTATGAATACCAGTTTCACATGGTATTCACGTGCCTCCTTATTTTTTCTTATCTGTATCATTATAATCATACTAACAATGATGCAATCATCACAGTCCGTTTATATGCAGATTGTTTTTGGGGGAGGCAAAGGTGTATTTATTAAAGAGTAAATGAGCGGGTCCAAGGCTAAGGATTGTTTTTTTAAATCTAATTAATCAGAACGAACATTTCTAGTGCAATATTTATCAAACCCTAATAACTGAAAAAAAAGTCGATGATATCCTAAGTTTAAAGATGAGATCTGGGAAAGTCAGAATGAATGTAAAGAGGGTGAGGGAGCTATGGCAGGGCAGCCTCACCCTGGTCCCTGCTCCAGTCAGCAAGTGACATAACTCCTGCCAATCTCCAAGGGACCTAAGCCAGAGGGAGTTTCCAGCAGTAGGCTCCCTTTGGGAGACTGGTCGTTTTTATTTATATTTTTCCTCCAAATACCCTCTGAAGGATCCCTTGTTGACCCAAGTGACCCAGGCACAAGCCTCTGCATATGATGGGTGTAGCAATTAACTGTGTGTGGAAGATACTACTCAGGACGTTTAACTAATTTAAATTTGATTACTGCTAATTTAGAAAAATCTTTAACAAATGCTAAGCATTACACAGTAGAGACTATGAAATTAATGGCAACTTTGGCACATTGGATACATGTTAGACTCCATTGTGTAGAGAACAAAAAGTTCTGACCATGCCTTAAAATAACTGAGCACACGAACTGTATGCAAATTAAGTTTAAAAATTGAGTCCATTCTGTGAAATGAAGACTAAAATGAATTGGGATTAAAATATTCTGACACTCCAGTTTAAATACACAGCATATAGATCACTTTTTTTTGAAAACTGGATTATCATAATGTACCTTTGAAAGATCAAGGAAAACCAGTATAGTTTCTAAAAATGTTGATTTGAACATCTCTAAAGGGAGTTTAAATTTGTGGGAAACTGGACACACAAGGGAGATAAACATGACCCCAGATGCCGGCCTCTGAAGACAGCCTGCCTACTGTAAGGTCTTGTCGTTTCCTGATACTAACATGGTCTAGGAAGTCTTAGCTTCGTTTCTAAAACAGCAAGAGAAGACTTGAGGCCATCTGGTTGTGTGTTTATGATACACATTTGACTTTCATTGGATGTTTTCCAGGGTTTGCATTGTCCTCCACAAGCCATCATAGGGAGCCCTCCTAGGGTGAGAACTGAAAGGAAGCTTGGCAACAGGCCAAAGAAACGAGGCTCTGAGAAGCCCACATTGCCAGACACATCGGGGTAGCCTCTTTCTCGGTCCCAAGAGCTTTCTCGACTCCATCCTCCACACCACCAGCAAAGACCAGGAACAGCTCCACGCAAGTGCATGAAGGGTGCTGACCTTCATGTCTGAAGACGTGGCCTTTCTCTGAATTAGACTTCTGGATGTAGGTGTACGCAGGATACATATTACCAGATGATTGCCAAGAAGAAATGCAAGAGTATCTAAATCAACAATTCATTACAGTCACAGGAGGACTCCACGTGCAGCTTAATGTCCTCCAGTGCTCACCAAGAGACCAAGAAAGATACCCTGCCCCAATCAAGAAACTAGTTTTAGCTTGAGGGCTGTGGTGCCAAGTGGTAGATTCTAACAAGTCACAAGTCAACTTGCTACTTCAAGTTTTCCTACAATAGAAATCACTGGCCAGACGGTGGTGGCACATGTCTTTAATCTCAGTACTTGGGAGGCAGAGGCAGGTGGATCTTTGTGAGTTCGAGGCCAGCCTGGTCTATAGAGTGAGATCTAGGAAAGGCACAAAGCTACACAGAGAAACCCTGTCTCAAAAAAAACTAAAAAAAAAAAAAAAA